GATGCGCACGTGGCATCATCAACTTATATTGCGCAGCATATCAACTGTATTGTCTGCTAATTGGCTGTGATAGGATCAGATTTGTTTTGTTGATATATGTGCAAATTGTTCGTAAGATCAGCTTAAATATTTTCAGCCCAGGTTGAATGTTCCGAGAGCCGGATGGACCAGATATTGTGATGGACACATCATAAGGCTACGCCTTTCTGACCAGTCTTTTGTTGCTTGGGTCTTTGCGTATCATTTCCCAATATTCCTGACGATGTTCGTGCCGGTCCTTTCGACTTTATTACTGCTTGAGTTCAGTGTATCCTCCACGACTAATTCGAGTATTATTCATGATGAAGACCAAGTCGTGTTCGTCGGGCACTTGAATGATTCGATGCTTTCTGCAAATACTACCCCGAGCGTTGCTAACGGGGAGTTAGAGAGGAGCAATGATAGTAAGCAAGTCATTGATGAAACTATCGGGGAAGTACGGACTTTTCCTTTATTTGAAAAGTTCGCCAAATGGTTCGCTAAAGACACGCCCGTCGAATGCCGTGTAGAAACTGCTTCAAACCTAATGAAGATAAATCCCCGGAAAAGTAAGCAAGATAAAATAGTGTCACAGCAAGTTAAGAAGCTTTTCGAGTCAGATGATGGAGCATTGGCATTATTTGCCGAAGTGAAAGTTTCCAAGTTGCTAAAAGACGAAGTGACACGGGAATTAACGGAAGAATGGTTCACCAATTCTCATACCAAGTTATCAGCACTATTTTCAACTTTGATGAAGGAGACAAAAGAAGGATCACTTGATGAATTTTTTCAACTTCAGCTACACGTTCCGCTATATAGGTACGCCTGGCGATTATATGAATATGTGCCGTTCGATTTGGATATAATCGCAACTGATGTCGCTCGACTCCTGACCGAAAATCGTAAAGGAGGTACTTTGATAACTTGGTTTGGAACTTATGCAACCCCATACTCAATTGATCTTTATCATCCCACTCTAACTGATAATGTACGTCTCGTAATTGGTTTGTCACGTCATCCGAAGACCCTCAAGCTAGCGTATCGCTTACATGCATTGTATACTGGCGGCCTTGTGGATTTTCGTCATAATTATATTCCATCTCTCGCTCTTTCCGAAGAAGAGTTTTGGTTTAATTTTGCTGCTTTTGTTCGTTTCAACTACATAGAGCATGAAGCAAGAAGCCTTAAGTTTATGTACTCTGAGGTCGCGCAATACTCGAAAAAGAAAGCCCTCAAGAGTTATTTGAGTGCTGTATCGAAAGCAGGGAAATTTCAAGTTGAACGTTATGTTTGGTTGCAATTTGGTGATGATTACACGCGCTTGTTAAAAGCTGCATTACAATCTGATGATAACACGAATTACGTAAGTGGAGCTTTGACGAGAAATCCTCATATCGCTGAATTTAAAAAAAAATTGAACGATGTGAAATTGGTGAAAACTTTCGAGCAGCTTTTGAGCGACGGAGAACGCGTAGAATTGCTTCTGGAAAGCGTAGGGGAACTAGTGAATTTCAAATCGTCTCCGGGAATATCCGGTGTTGCCACGAACAAAAAACAAGATGAAATCGTCGAAAAGCTTCAATTGTTGGTCACAGATGAAGACAGTTTTCAGTTGCTGAAAATCTCTTTAAATGATGAACATCTTGACTCGTTCTTTGACGCATTAGATGCACGAAAACATTTGAAATTGGTTGAAGACATGCTAAGCAGTACGGAAATCAATACCGTAAAGTCGTTTAAGGACATTCTTGAAGACCAGAATAAGGTACAATCTCTTGCACAGGCTTTACTAACTAAAGAGAGTTTGGAAAATTTCAGAATGTCTTTGGACAACAAGAACATCTACACTAAAAAAAGGTCTGATCTGGTTGAACAAGAAAACTTGAAAGCGCTCGATGAGTTGTTGAATGATTTGGATCAAGTGTTTTTTCTCAGAGTGGCTGTCAGGGATAATGTTCGTGCGGAATTGTTTCGAGCAGCTTTGGAGAAAGTACAAGGGAAGGAGTTCAAAGACGTATTGAACGAAGTAAATCCGGTGGAGACGTTCGAAGTCGTGTTGAACAAAAGAAATTTGGTAAATGTGTTCAAATCGGCGCTTGAAGATGAAAAGCAGCTCGAATGCCTTAAAAACGCTGTTTCGGTTGAGCGTCGTGAGGAGTTTAAATCTTTTTTTGATTCTCGAGATCAAAAGATGTTTTATGAAGAGTTGGAGCAGCAGCTGCAACTTGAGGAGAACAGTCGAAAGGATTTCTCGACTCGGGGCCCCCTTTCAACACCACCGTCTTGAACCCTCGTTTCAATTTCTAACCAATTTGATGATTTTTTTTTTGCTTCATTTGTTTTCAAAATTCTTCTAGCTGGTGGTAAATTTTTCTTTATATTTTCTGTGCTTTCGAAACTCATCAATTTACTGAGATTTTAAAGTAATATACTATGTCAATTGACTAGCACAATGAACAGTTTGAAATAATAGAAATCGAGTGCAAAATTTATCATATCTTAGACATATCGACAAATTTGATAATGAAGGAAAGTGAGGCGATATGTTAATTTTTCTCTGTCAAGAACATTAAATGCTTAGTAACATAGTACGTACTGAAATACAATGTGGTACCTTGCACACTGACTCTTACACATAATGCAAAGTTCACTTTATCCATTGTTGTTTATCTCCTTCTATTGTAAAGTCTATAGCACCGTTTCGTGCTACCAGCTTTGGGCATATATGTCGACTTAAAGTAGCTTCAACTACGTAGAAGCAATCAAAATAGCGCAGTCATCTCAACCACTAAGAATGTGCTATTTTTTTGTGCCTTAAAAAGAATGCAAACCGTATCTGAGCATCACACAAGCAATCACTCATTCCTCATTTGCCTAACATGCGGCATATTCCGTTGAAATATTGTAAGAGTCGTGCGATATGTGAATAAAAAAACTCATTGTATTACCTCGATCTGATTGCTATCTGCGATACGCCGTCAAAGCACATGAACAATTTAGTTTGCTACAGCTTCATCGCTGCAATTGCGAATAAAAGATGATAAGCGATGAAGGGCTGCAGCAGTCGTGAGAAAAAGCAGCAATACAAATTGTCAGCTGTGGGATTTGAACCTACGCGCTGAACGAAACATCTCAGACCACACGGGCAAACTGACGGGCTGGGTACATAACAAATTATGCACATGCATTATCAAGACATACCATGCAGATATGCCTACATGCTCTGGCAGACAGCTTGACGAGCTGCC